TATTTAAAGCTTCCCGTACTACGCGGTTACTATAAAGCTGTTCTTTAAGCGATCCTAGTGGTGTTTACACGACTTTAGTTTACCCTGCGATTCACATACCCTACAGTGACTTTATAGAGACAGTGGCGACAATAGAGTGTCTAATTTTTGATTGGTCGTTGAGATCGGCCGCCATTTTGCGTCAAATTTCACGTGTTTCCGGTAATAGATATGCTCGCGCGCATTCCCGCGCTTCTATAAACGTCACTGGTTGATAAATTTGAAGTACAGGTGCCATGATATTCCTACAAAAAATGGTATCATGACAGATGGCAGCCTGACATTAGCGACTTCAGCAGTCAAATGCCAGAGGTAGATGATGAAAAATTTGTGTTTGGATGGCCGTGAATTCAGTACCTAATTGTATTTCCGCGTGCAATTAGCATTGGAGGACAAAGGCATCGAAAAATAGCTGAAAACGAATGTGGCGGAACCTAATATGTATGTGTGACAATGTGGCAGCAATTGAGGATATTGTTGTGAAACGCGATACCATATTCGACTCGCAGTGCAATAGCCCATCGAACAATTTCTATGAGTTGGATTCAGCGAAGAGATTATGTTGACGAGGCAGAGTAAGACGTTCAATTGAAAGGATGGTTTTCAGAAAGCAGTTGATGGAATCTGGACCATCCTCTAAGGCGGAGCTGTGGAAGTTGAAAGATATGATGCTGAACCCACTGATCTGTGACCTGTGGGATGATCAAAAAGTGTTTTCAATTACTTACTCAATGATAGCGAAAATGATAATTATACGTGTTTTGCTTAGACCAATTATTTTGTAATAAATTGATTGGAGAGGAATTTTGTGTTTTATTTAATAAGTGTAATAATCCGTTCTTCTTGATATTACTGTCTTTTCATTTCCTTCACCTGCAAAGATATTCATTTACATTGAATAAATGTTCTTAATTCTGATATTCAGTCCAATTGTTATAAATTTTCATCTAAAAAGGAAAGATGTTCTCATAAACTCATAATACTTGTAGGGATTTGTTTCTTACTAGAAACAATCAAATTCATATTCATACTTAGTTTTTATATAGCTAATTGTACTAATAAAACGTTTAGAAAATAGTCGTTCACAATATGTGTAACGCGCCGGTAATTTGATTGCTCACTAATATGATATTGCGGTGTACGCCACTCATGCCTACGTGTATTGTGTGTTGCCAACTTTTTGACGCAAAATGGCGGCCGAACTCCTATTGTCGTCACTGTTTCTATAAAGTCACTGTAACATAGCCACGACTACAGTGCCCTCTATCCGTGACCACCCATTTTGTATGGAAAGCATAGGGCTAATAGCGGTCCATGTACTATAATTATGGTCTAAGGATTTGCGACCTTCTTTTGTAATGGGGTTGGCACTTGAAAGTTGTTGCGTAATGTGAAATTGGTTAAAAATCGGGACATCCATTTGGTTGGTTCGCAGAAAACCGATACAAGATTGTCCGGATGCCGTTTACGGGAAATTGACCCTGGATCTGAAATATTTAAAAAGTTATTTGAATCCATGACTCAAAACAAAGCCGCTATAGCAAAAATAAACTATATGTCTAATTTCTGAACGATATGCAGAAGAAGTGTAGTTAGCGCGTTAGGCTTTTAATTTTGTTGCAATTTCAGGTGTAAAGTAGCTTATAGTGGCGAAACTGGGCGACTAATTGAACAGCTGCGCCAATTTTCCACCTAAATCGTTTATGAACAAATTAAGCGAAATTGATAAATGGCTCTGAGAAGTTGAGAACAGAATTGCAGCCCGGGGGCGATTATAGAGGATTCATGGTTTTAAGCTTGAAACGGTTCGTGCATCGAGAACGCGGGTTTAATATTGTGTACGGTAAACCGCCACATACTGCAGTCTGGCTATACGAACTGGAAACTGAAGCAACTGAAAATACATTGAAACTCGCTGACCTGTGCCGTACATCATGTCGTTACAGCGAGATAACGTTCGATTTGTATGACGGGAAAGAAACAATGCGATGAACTTCAATGGTTATTGTTACTGCCATGCCTAATCGCATTATCCCTCCATTATTATTATTAACTTGTAGTTTCTGTGTTTCATAAATGTCGGAGTGATGACCCCATTAGCGGACGGCAAAGTGAACGAACTTCTTAGATTTATTTGTGTGAGAGATTTAAGGACTGTCGTTAAGTAACGACTTTTGTTTTAAATTGCGGAGTTAATACCCCTTTCTTATTTTTGCTGGCAGACGTTAATGCCTACGATGTGCTCTGCTTTTACTGGCAAAGAAATATAGCCTAAAATTGGAACAGCCTTACAAATCGAGAAAAACCGCAAATGTAGTGATATAAACAGGAAAATATACGGCGGGCAATTGCTGTAGTTGCGACCTAACCGCAAATTCGCACGAAATCCAATCATTAGGACGGTCCCTACCAACATTGCGCAATAAAAGCAAAGTACCTGGTAGTAAACGTAACGTTCTTCTTATTGCCCTCATACACGTAAACCGAAATCGATTCTAATTTGTAATAAATCGTCTTCACGATCGACAATCGAAACTGAATGTTCCTTTTCTTATTTACAGATGCGGACAAGAGACGCGAGTGATACCTCGTCTTCTTCAGCTACGGTACCACTGGTTGAAGTCGGAAAAGGAATCGCTTCGTTTGGAGCAGGCCGGCATTACGAAGGAGGTGCTGGATTCTGCAATCGCCGCGTTCACCTTGGAGATAATCGCGAGGCACGGCGAGCCGGCGCCGAGGTTGTGTAATAAGGACCCGCTTACAATTAAGATGGGCACTTACGTGGTCGAACTTTTTCCGAACGCCAAATTTGTGTTCATGGTTCGCGATGGACGCGCCACAGTCCATTCGATAATATCACGGCAGGTGACAATTACCGGGTTCGATCTGAGCAGTTATAGACAGTGTTTAAGAAAGTGGAATACGGCCGTGGAGGCCATGAACGAACAGTGTAAAAAAATCGGACCAAGTAGATGTTTAAGGGTTCCCTACGAACAGTTAGTTTTGCATCCGAGAAGTTGGATGGAAAGAGTACTTAAATTTCTCGAACTGCCTTGGAACGAAACGGTTCTGCATCATCAGGACTATATCAACAATGGAATTAGTTTAAGCAAGTATGTCATTTGAATTATCTAGACTCTACTAACTTCTACGATAGTGAAATGCTGTTCCGTAGAAGTTAGTAGAATCGACGTAGAGATTAAAATTCTATAACGCAATAGCGACGATAATGAATGCACGAATTCCAATAAGTTTATGAATAGATCCGAGCTCCTCGCGCAGATAATGATTGACGCCATTACATTTTGCGGCTAACAATAACAAAAATGCATATCCTTAGAAAAGGGGATCATTAAAGCTATGTTTTGCGCATTGCTGTTATATATTGAAAATAAAGTTCGTCGTCGGGAAAGTTTCGCCTAGGCAATATCATACATTGTTAACTAAATGTAACCTGAAGGTATAGAAATTCATTTAATATTCTACGCGATGAATACCGACATTATAATCCCTTGTTTTAATTTCCTCATAATTGCGTTTAATTTGACGTGCAGAATTACCCGTCGTTTAGAAATGCTAGTCTTTCTATTATAGTTATGAAATTGCAGTTAATTATGATCGATCCCTGCTACCAGTAAATGCAGGAGGAAAGTTGCAGGTTTGATATTTTGCCATCGATTGACTCGGTCTTGTTGTGCTCATATTACATTATACGCAGTCCTCGAGGCCAAATATTACGTTTCGAATGCGAATTTGTATGGCACGATGCACAGTATATAAAATGAGATGTTGAAACAAATAAACAAAAATTTAATAAAAAATTGTGTCAGTTGAAGACCTTATGATCCGTGCATCGTAAAGGTATACTTATAAAGACATATTTTTCGGTTTGATGTACAATTAAAATGATGTAAGGTATGATGACATATTTAATTAAAGTCAATACGCTACTTCCTTTTCCCAGGGATGGAAATTTTTTAATAATCTGTCAAATATTCGTCTACTTAAGAACGTTTTTGTGCAAATGTGAGATTCAATTATGTTTACATTATGATTGGAAGTTTATTTACTTATTTATTATCCCTCTCTTGTTCTTGGCTCTCAACAGGCTTGCGCCCAATTACAGAGTGATCCGCATAATGCTTTTTAGAGGTGCCTCTGCAGAAGGTCTTAAGTTGTTCTATACTACTCCGGTATTTACCTTACGAATTAGGAAAACCTAATTCCGAGTAGCCGGCACAATACTCGAAACTGGTCTAAGGTAATTCCCATCTCTGCCACAGATGACAAATTCACCTCAACCCAGGTGTAGAATGTATAGACAGATAGAACTTGTCAACGTCTTGTCACGTCACATTCGATTGTAATAATTGATCTGAAATATATCCCTCACTTTATGATAACCTTGGATATTGATTAGACCGAGGCCTACGATTCTTACAGGCCGGAGCGCTCGAAAAGTCACGTGACGTTAGGAGTCATATGAAATACATTACGGCTTATGGAAAATCCGTGCGTGGCTCCACTATTTATTTTTGTACTCCGGATCCGTTCAACATAGAGCCACGAAATTTCAATGAGAGCTTCTCAATAGTACACACAATCAAATTATGGTGTTCGTTAATTTTTAATAACACCAAAAATAATTAATTTTTAGGTTTAAAGTATTGAAGATAAAACGATGTTAGTAAATCCGCGTTTTTCTATCTTTACATCATCATATTTCTTTTTCTAGGAACTATATCATTATAATCCTTTCGGTGTCTTAAACTAGAATGATATGCGCCTCCAATTATGCGTATATAATGCCTTATCTCGTATTAGTATAGCTTTAACAGGCCCTACAAAATCGCGCATTTATTATCCGCGCAGAGAAAAATTCAACATGCTAGAAACTTTTTTGTTATTGCTATAATTGTATCACATATATCGAATGAATTGTGGTTAAAGGGCACAAAAATGTTCTTCAGAAGGCATTTTTAAGAAATGGTCTCTTGTTTCCTTTTTTTCAGCAACTGAAGTAAATAGCGCGATTTCAAGAATAAGTGAACGCGCAAAGGAATTATGTTTCAAATAATTGTTAGTAATCGATTTTCAAATTGTGTTTGTGAGATTCAAATTTACATTAAACTTATAAAATTAAAGATATTATCAGTCAAAGGTATGGAGTATATCTTATATCTTCGTTAATATGAATTTTGCAGTACATAAAGTATTTTAGTTATAGGTACCTACTATTGTGAAAGTGAAATGGGAAATTTGTCTTGTCCGCCTATGAGGCCTGGTAAGTATCGTAGGCTTTCATCTTCATTCTATGAATAAATAAAAATAACCTTTTGAATAAGGAAGTTTAAAAAAATATCTTTTTCTATCCAACTTACAGCAGTTTTAGTAAAAAGTACAGCTTGTAAGGAATAGGCAGTGCCGGACTGGCCCAGGCCGCTAGATTAGATTTCAATAAACACTACAAATATAAAATTAATAATATATTTTAAGAATATAGACACAGTCATATTTTAAAATCCAACAATCAACTCTTAATTTAGGTAATATAAAACTGCCTATTTGACTGACATCAGTTTTTTCAATTTTTTGTTGTCCTAGTCTTGTCCCTTAAATTGTTATTCTTACATTTTGAATAATTACTTAGTAGGATGTTGGCGAATGTTTGCAAACTTTTTGAAATGTAGTATTTAAAACTATTCTGACATTGGTCCCAAATTTCATCATCTACTTCTAAATTCTTCAAAAATATTTTTATTAATAATAATTTTTGGTTACCGCATGATAAAAACAGTTTTTCTATGATATATCCTCCAATAAATATGAGTACCTACCTTGACATCGTTTTCAGAACTATTTTGTCGTTTTCTAAATCTTAGAATATTTCAATACTTAGGTATATTTAACATCGAAACAAAATCTATGATGCAAAATACTCCTCTGGAATGCGCCTTTAAGCGCAATAAGCTTAATATTTTTAATTTTATAAGTTTAATGCAAATTTGAATCTCACAAATAAAATTTCTTAAAATTTCCTTCTGAAGAACATTTTTGTGCCCTTTAACCACAATTCATTCGATATATGTGTTACAATTATAGAAATAACAAAAAAGTTTCTCGCATGGTGAATTTTTCTCTGCGCGGATAATAATTAATGCGCGATTTTGTAGGGCCTGTTAAAGTTATACTAACACGAGATAAGGCATTATATACCCACAGTTGGAGCCGCATACAACTCTAGTTTAAAACACCGAAAGGATTATAATGATATAGTTCCTAGAAAAAGAAATATGATGATGTAAAGATAGAAAACGCGGATTTACTAACATAGTTTTATCTTCAATACTTTAAATCTAAAAATTAATTATTTTTAGTGTTATTAAGAATTAACGAACACCATAATTTGATTGTGTGTACTATTGAGAAGCTCTCATTGAAATTTCGTGGCTCTGTGTTGAACGGATCCGGAGTAAAAAAATAAATAGTTGAGCCGCGCACGGTTTTTCCATAAGCCGTTATGTATTTCATATGACTACTAACGTCACATGACTTTTTCGAGCGCTCTGGCCTGTAAGTATCGTAGGCCTCGATTAGACTCAACTTTTGGCATATGGTTACAGCTATCTATGCTCATATTAAATATCATACAATTCGGTTCATACCTAACGGAAATGTCAAGGTCCTTATTTTTTGGCCTACAGTAGCAATTCACGAACTCCGATCTACAAATTTGATAAAGAATCCACCTACAAAATTTCATCGTAACCGGTCCACTCGTTTTCGAGATATCGTGCTAACGGACAGACGGACGGACGGAGCAAAATTATAAACTCGCTAGGAGTTCGTTAATAAGCGTCATAACACCTTCGTAATACTATTAACATTATAGATGACGTATGCGCAATACGCTTTATATCTTACCACTGCCAAGCCAATCACAAACCACTACTAATTTACTTTCACGAACTGTGGCTGCTAGCCTATTAACATTCGAGCGTTTTGTGACGTTATTTTCTTTACCGCTTAATCTTTGCTTTTTGAATTACGATGTGGAATCCTTCTCGAATATCATTATGCGAACTCTTACCTTTATATAGCAATCTAGGTGTTCACATTGTAACCCGATCCGTATTTGTGATATAGCTTTCTTTTAAAACCTTCCCGTCTAGATTTCTGTTGCGCGTTTTCTCCCACTTGCTGTTGGCGCGCGCAGACCTTGTTGAAGAACTCGAATCGATCTTGACTTGTACTTGAGCTACACGCCATTACACTTACTTGACATTATTGTCTACCTTTTTGGGATATTATTTGTGGTGTTTGTATTAAGATTAGTGGAGTTTTTTTCTTATTATCTTACTTTCAACTTCGCTGATGCATTTCTGCGGATTTATCTTACAAGTTTAAGGCCGTTTACGATATGTTATCTTTTTACTTTAAATAATCCATTTCAGGCTACTTTCGTACTCCCTGAGTTTTCTTACTTTTTATTTTGGAGTTACCAATTGCTTCCTGATTGTGCATTGATATTTCTAAATGGAAACGCGAATTTCCGATTTTCGATATTGTGCAAGAGAATTCCATTGAAATTTCGACGCCATTACCAGTCAAAAACGCCCTGCATATTTCTACCTTATGGACTGAAGAATTACCGCCATTTCGTGCGAAACCGATGATGACCCAATTTTGCGAAGTTCGGTGACCTACGATTGATTCCTCCGAAACGCAAATACCTAAATAACAAGACGTGTGGAGTTGGTACTGTGTAAATTGTTCGTATGTATTTGTATACAGAGTTACCGATTACGTTTAGTTTTGTCGTTAGCGAAGTTTAGATTAACGATAATATCACCTACGATCGACATCATATTTGTGTTACTCCGATACTTAGATTTGTTAGTTTACTGTATTTTATCCTTCATATTAACTACTTTTGTTTGTGATCTAGTTATATAATTGCCGAGACTCGAAGTAAATTTCTACAATTTTAATTAACGTTATGTATTTTGCTCTGAAGAACTTGCTCGTGTAAGTTTGTTTTCATTTGAATTGATAAGATTGCTTTGTCATTGAAGAGAGATTCAGTTATTTGTACATTTTATAGTATTTTTTCCTTAAGACTTCATGTCACTTTTTGATATCTCATACCGATTGTAAAAACCAACCCTTAGTCGAACCAAATGTTGTTTTGTCGTAAAGTCATTTGAATTTTTGACTCTTTAGTATTAATTGCAATTCTACGTATAAGAATAACCCTTCGTGTCTTACGTTAACCATTGGTTATGCGATATATTGTGCAACGCGAATCATTACCCCTCATATTTTTTTGTTTGTGTGTCTGTTTGTTTACAGATTTGCAGTTTCGCGTCCTCTGAGCTCAGAAGGTTGCGACCGTAGTTCAAAGGTAAATTAAGTTGTTTTCGTCGTTTTTCCCTTTTAACGTTTGATTACATTTTGGGTTTTGATACTAACAAGTTGTGATTATTACTTTGTTTGAAAGTCACTTAATGATTATGGCTCCGTTGTTTCTGCGGAAGCCCTTTTGGATAAATACTTTCCCCGACTACGTGTTGGTTTCTCATTTGTTTTTATTAGCGTTTATTTTAAATTCCCATTTTGATATACCAGATCTATATATTCCAGTGTCAGATTTGTGATATTTTGAAATCATTGTATTAAAGTATTAAACCACCCGCATTTATGACATCAAATATTGTTTGTGTTTCTTTCCCCATAATTGTGCATTCCTTCGAGTTTAGTAAGACGAAAACAAGGATCTCTTAGTCTGCCTTGTTTATCCCTTTAGTAAGTATTCTCTCTCTCTCTCTAGATTTATCAAAGGCTAAGTGGCGCCTATCCGGATTACTTTTACTGTTTCCTTCCCTTTTTGGCTTATTTGTGTTTGTATAGAAGAACCCCATTTTCACCCCGACCCACCTCTACTTTGCCTGAGCTTACCGTGTGCTTATCTAAGGTAATTTTGTCATGTTGGCCCAAAGTGAACGTAACAGTTTCATATAAACGTTACGAAACTAGCATCCTATAAGTGTTTTCAACACTAACATCTATGCAGGAAGATAAATGATCTCAGGAGTAAATCGATAAATACCGATCGTTTCCGTCAGACAGATTGTAAGTAAATTTTATTTTCATACTTTCACTTCTAGACATCACATAATACGTTTGCAGGTTGTCTCAACAAAATCAATGCAGAAACAACGATTTTGGTACATCTGGTCCATACACAATATGTAACTGAAAATCCCTCGGAAAATCCTCAAAATTTATGTCTTAAGTTAAATCGTTTGCATGTTTTTCGAATGAAATCAGTGAGTAAATATCAATTTTACTATCTGTTTGTCAAACGAAACTGCAATAAATTCAAATTGAAATTGTGCTTTTTCATTACGAACAAGCCAATCTGTCAGGGTTCTTATCCTGGCTAAACCCAAGTTATTTCTGTTAGACAGGCGTTATTCCGTTGTATATTTCTCGGCATGCACTAATAAATGCGCTTTAGGAAATTAGGGCATACTCCTTTTTTTTCTGTAAATTTGATTTGACGCTCTCGTATTTTTAATTTTACTCTCCGGTACGTATCTGCTCGAAACTAACAGCGTAAATGAAATTCATTAGATTTTTGCGACGCGCTTTTCTCTTTATTTTGCAGCAAAGTTGTAGCTTGTAAATAGTTCGAATTTCGCCCAGAATACCTACTTGACGTTATTGCGGAAAATTGGGTTAGATTAAACTGGGAAGCGCGCTCCATTTTCAATTACTTTGAAACCACGCCGGGCGGTTATTTAAGCGCGTGCATTCGTCAAATTATAATAAACGTCTGCATTTCCACCTAACGGTGAAATGAATTAATTAATTCGCTTTATATGAAGAAATGTACAAAAACTAGATTTACAAACAAAATTTAATTTCACAATTTTTAAAGCACACACTTGGCTTGCCCAAATTACATAAGACTCTAAACTGCTGGGGTTCGTAAACACACGTAAGTTTAATTTAAGATTTAAGGTGTTTGTAATTTCAACTCCAATACTACTTAAACCAAATCTATAACGGGCTGTAGGTACATTAACTGAATTATGGGCTCCCGGCGGTAAAGACACTATGAATATTTATTTGAACTATAAAAGTTAACATAAAAAATAGTCATTTCCAGGTAGGTATTTCAGATCGACCAATCTTCCACATCGTACCTTTCAATGAACGGATTAATCAATTCCGCCACTGGCTCGGGATTATTTAAATGAACGTGATGGGTACCTTCGACCGTGTGAATTTCGAATTTAGGATTAATCTTCTTGAGAACGTTGTAAAATTCGTGAGTTTGAGTTAAAAGTTCGAATTTCTTGGTTACGACGGTTCCTAGGCAAAGAAGCGTGGGGCAAGTGAACTTGTCGGTCATCTTCGTTACGTCCCCAGCGTATTCGAGAAACGGTAGGAGTTTTAATCGCAAGTCGCGCGTGAAGTAGAATTCGTCGGGTTTAGTCGTGGATCTCGCGATGTTCCGTTCCAAGACGTACTTGCAGGTCTCCAAGGAGATGGACTTGGCGGAGTCCGCGTGTAGCCGCCTTTCTAACTCGTTGTAGGGGTAACTCGGCCCTTCCTGATCCAAGCTTAGTAGGTGATCGTACTTGATGAACCGATCCACGTTGACGCCCAATTCTGTAATATTCAGGAGGTCGGTGAGCGGCCTTAGGCCCTCGATTGCGATTAGGAAGTCGACAGCTTTGGGATATAAGGTCGCGTAATTGTAAGCGATGGTGCCGCTGATGGAGTGTCCCAACAGTGACACTTTCGGCCAGTTGAAGTATTGCACAACTCGTCGCAGAAACACGATATAGTCCGACCAGTAGTAGGAGACACCGAGCGGGAGTTTTGATGACAACCCGTGGCCGGGAAAGTCGATCGCCAGGTAACCCAACTCGGGTTTAAGGAGCGGGATCAGTCTATCGAAGCTTCCGCAGTTGTCCTGATTGTAGAGCGGTAAGAAACAATTGCAAAATTGTTTAACTCACCTGCCACCCGTGGAGAACCAAAATTGGTCTCCTATCCTGAGGTCCCCACCATTTTCCCGCGATATGGCCCCAAGGAACGGGAATTTTGATTTCTTCCCACATTTGCTTCAATTTTGAATATCCTCTTATGCCCCTCAATAACATTTTGTACACTGGAACGGGTTTTTATACCGCAACCAACTTATCACTTAAGTAGACAGTCACCTGCTAAACAGAATTACATTTTTCCATATACCATTGAATAAAAACACTTTTTATTCAATGCAATTCTATTCAATGCTTGTACTTAGACTTTACCTTGAAGTCTAGTTTATCATAATGTGTGGCCTTTCTAATGAAAAACTATTAAGTACACTATGGTGATATAAACACACTATATGTGCACTATGCGCATCTACAGGCAAAATTAGGTAATGACAACCTCGAAAATCTCAACTGTCACATAGCATTCGGTTGCACAATGTCAAATTTTTATTTAGAGATATTTTAAAAAATTTTGAACCACAGAAGCTTTTATTAAAGGCAAGCATATCGCATATTGTAAAAATCAGATGTGCGCATGCGCAAACTACGCAAAGTCAACTTTCTTGTTTATGGAAATATTGTTTTGGAATTTTATACGAAGATTCTTCTAGTAAAGGCAAACATATCGCATATTTTAAACGTCAGATGTGCGCATGCGCGGCCTGCGCAATGTTAAGTTTTTTATTTACAACAATATTTATGCTATAAATTATTTTCATTATCATGATTGCTTCACTTCCGATTTTACCGGAAATGGATAGCAACTTTCTTATTTTAAATAGAAGATCCTGTATTTTATTGGATTTTCGAAATCTTCCCTATACCCAGAATCCAAGGTTTTCAAGTTTTTCAAGATTTTTCAAATTGTTTGACGTTTGGCTGCTTTTCTTTAGGGCTCTGTACCTATGACTCCGTTAACTTGTTCCAAAATCAACAATCTTATTTATGGTACAAGGAAATTCGATAGAAGAATTAGCAAAAACTAAATGGCTTAACATGAAAAATCGGGCAAATTGCTTGTTTATTTCATAAAATTGCACTTTCTTATTTAACAAATAAAATAGTATTTAGGGACGTATGTGCACACTTTAAACATAACATTCAAATGTCCACCGTTAAAAGGGAGTTTTCTTATCAAATAGCCAAACTATACAACAACGTACCTTTGAACCTTAAAGTCTTCTTTCAAGGTTCAATTAAAATTAATTTTATTAAAGAGATTATTTAACTAATACACATTGATTGCATGCGTACCGCATCATTTGCAGATGATCATTAAATGTTTAAGCTTGTTAGTTCGCAGTAATTATGTATAGAGACGAGTACATAAATTATTGTAAATTATATATATCAAGGTTCGGTGGAAGAACAATCTCTGGAGATTGAGGTTATCGTATTGTATGTAAGATAATAAAGGCCAATATTGTTATTGTTATTAAAATTTTGATCGAATCATGGAAAACTATGTTTCAGATTTAAATTCTTTATCGAATTGAAAACTGCTTCAGCCCTTCTGATGTCGAGGTACGTTTGGTTGGTAGTGTATTAATTACCTGTAATTAAAGGTTCATTATTCCTAGCTTAAACTGTTGGAAATGGACGCTTCCCGTTAGCACCTTCTACGGATTCTTTTTTCGGACAATCTGAATCTGGTATCAGCATTTCCATAACGCGCTAGATTTGAACTAGTAGCCCAATCTTGGAACTGTTTGAAATTATGGGTTCTACAGGCCACATTCTATAAGAAAATCTTTTTTCCCGGGCGATCTGAGACAATTTTTTTTTTGGCTCATAAAAGGCAGTGTATAACCTTCCTTTTTTACCAAAAATCGACTGCACCAAAATTTCTCGAGAAATTATTAATTATTAATTTTGGGGCGTAGAATCCAAAGAGATTCGTACTTTTTCGATCAGACCTCTCAATCAAAAGTTATGGACTAGAAACCAATTTCGAAAGATAATTGAAAGGGCGGTAACTTTTGAACTAGTAGCCCAATCTTGGAACTGTTTGAAATTATGGATTCTACAGGCCGCATTCTATAAGAAAATCGTTTTTCCCGGTCGATCTGAGACAATTTTTTTTTCGGGGCTCAAAAAAGGCAGTGTATAACCTTCCTTTTTTTACCAAAAATCGACTGCACCAAAATTTCTCGGGAAAACACTTTTTCTTATTAATTTTGGTGCGTAGAATCCAAAACAATTCGTACTTTTTCGATTAGACTTCTCAATCAAAAGTTATAGACTAGAAACCAATTTCGAAAGAAAATTCAAAGGGCTGTAACTTTTGAACTAGTAGCCCAATCTTGGAACTGTTTGAAATTATGGATTCTACAGGCCACATTCTATAAGAAAATTTTTTTCCCGGGTCGATCTGAGCCAATTTTTTTTTCGGGCCTCAAAAAAAGGCAGTGTATAACCTTCCTTTTTTACCAAAAATCGACTACACCATTTCTCGGGAAAACACTTTTTCTTATTAATTTTGGTGCGTAGAATCCAAAACAATTCGTACTTTTTCGATAAGACTTCTCAATCAAAAGTTATAGACTAGAAACCAATTTCGAAAAAAATTCAAAGGGCTGTAACTTTTGAACTAGTAGCCCAATCTTGGAACTGTTTGAAATTATGGATTCTACAGGCCACATTCTATAAGAAAATTTTTTTCCGGGTCGATCTGAGACAATTTTTTTTCGGGGCTCAAAAAAAGGCAGTGTATAACCTTCCTTTTTTACCAAAAATCGACTACACCAAAATTTCTCGGGAAAACACTTTTTCTTATTAATTTGGGTGCGTAGAATCCAAATCAATTCGTACTTTTTCGATCAGACTTCACAATCAAAAGTTTTAAGACTAGAAACCAATTTCGAAAGAAATTCAAAGGGCTGTAACTTTTGAACTAGTAGCCCAATCTTGGAACTGTTTGAAATTATGGATTCTACAGGCCACATTCTATAAGAAAATTTTTTTTCCGGGTCGATCTGAGACAATTTTTTTTTCGGGCCTCAAAAAAAGGCAGTAATAACCTTCCTTTTTTACCAAAAATCGACTACACCAAAATTTCTCGGGAAAACACTTTTTCTTATTAATTTAAGTGCGTAGAATCCAAAACAATTCGTACTTTTTCGATCAGACTTCTCAACAAAAAGTTATAGACTAGAAACCAATTTCGAAAGAAAATTCAAAGGGCTGTAACTTTTGAACTAGTAGCCCAATCTTGGAACTGTTTGAAATTATGGATTCACAGGCCACGTGCAATAAGAAAAATTTTTTTCCGGGTCGATCCGAGACAATTTTTTCTTCGTGGCAAAAAAAAGGCAGTGTATAACCTTCCTTTTTTACTAAAAATCGACTACACCAAAATTTCTCGGGAAAACACTTTTTCTGATTAATTTTGGTGCGTAGAATCCAAAACAATTCGTACTTTTTCGATTAGACTTCTCAATCAAAAGTTATGGACTAGAAACCAATGTCGAAAGAAAATTCAAAGGGCTGTAACATTTGAACTAGCGGCCCAATCTTGGAACTGTTTGAAATTATGGATTCTACAGGTCACATTCTATAAGAAAATTTTTTTTCCGGGTCGATCTGAGACAATTTTTTCTTCGGGCTTAAAAAAAGGCGGTGTATAACCTTCCTTTTTTACCAAATATCGACTGCACCAAAATTTCTCGGGAAAACACTTTTTCTTATTAATTTTGGGGCGTAGAATCCAAAACAATTCGTACTTTTTCGATCAGACTTCTCGATCAAAAGTTATGGACTAGAAACCAATTTCGAAAGAAAATTCAAAGGGCTGTAACTTTTGAACTAGTAGTCCCAATCTTGGAACTGTTTGAAATTATGGATTCTACAGGCCACATTCTATAAGAAAAATTTTTTCCGGGTCGATCTGAGACAATTTTTTCTTCGGGGCTCAAAAAAAGGCGGTGTATAACCTTCCTTTTTTACCAAATATATACTGCACCAAAATTTCTCGGGAAAACACTTTTTCTTATTAATTTTGGGGCGTAGAATCCAAAACGATTCGTACTTTTTCGATTAGACTTCTCAATCAAAAGTTATGGACTAGAAACCAATTTCGAAAGAAAATTCAAAGGGCTGTAACTTTTGAACTAGTAGTCCAATCTTGGAACTGTTTGAAATTATGGATTCTACAGGCCACATTCTATAAGAAAATATTTTTTCTCGGTCGATCTGAGACAATTTTTTCTTCGGGGCTCAAAAAAAGGCAGTGTATAACCTTCCTTTTTTACCAAAAATCGACTGCATCAAAATTTCTGGGGAAAACACTTTTTCTTATTAATTTTGGGGCGTAGAATCCAAAACGATTCGTACTTTTTCGATTAGACTTCTCAATCAAAAGATGGACTAGAAACCAATTTCGAAAGAAAATTCAAAGGGATGTAACGTTTGAACTAGTAGCCCAATCTTGGAACTGTTTGAAATTATGGAATCTACAGGCCACATTCTATAAGAAAATTTTTTTCCGGGGCGATCTGAGACAATTTTTTTTTCGGGCCTCAAAGAAAGGCAGTGCTTCCCTTTTTACCCAAATCGACTGCACCAAAATTTCTCGGGAAAACACTTTTTCTTATTAATTTTGGTGCGTAGAATCCAAAACAATTCGTACTTTTTCGATCAGACTTCTCAATCAAAAGTTATCAGGAAAGTTATGGACTAGAAACCAATTTCTTCCAATGCTTACAAAACCAACCCCCTCTTAATTACCGAGTAAAATTTTGAAGGCTTCCAATGGCGGATTATCACTAAAAATGGCTATATGCCTAATTGTTTATCGGTTACGGTCTTTTGTACTACCAATACCGAAGGGCTGTAGCTGTTAAAGATCCACTCAATTGAAAACATACACCCGATCATCAATTTCCATGGACTGAATTCGCACCGAATTACTGTTCAAAAACCTAAAATTTAAATAAATACATTGGCCACAATAGCCCATTCTTTTTCAATTACATTAAAATAGACTCAAAAAGGGGGGTTTGATTTAGTTATTTGTTGTTGCGTATAGCATAAACAAAATTCAAAGAGCAGTCAGAAGTTTGTGCAATTGAAGTTAAAAACCACGAACGTTTACTTTTATAAACTAGAAACATCGATCTCATAAAAGGACGCTTTTTTACAGGTTT